GCGGCAGGTCCCACGGCCAGCTCTGCGCCCCCCCTGCCCCGAGGTAAGCTTGGGGCTGCTAACCCGCATGGCTGCTGCTGGTTTGGAGCGGGAAGGGCCGCCGGGGTTGGTTGGGGTGTCCCAGCTGGGCGGGGGTAGGACCCTGCTGCCAGCAGCAGCCGCGAGGACGCAGCTCCTCCAAGCCCCCTTCCTTGTGCCCTGCAGAGCCCTGCACTGCAGGAGATGCTCCTGCACACCCGGCCAAGCACAGGCGGGAGCTCTGCGAGCGGCGAGAGCGAGGTGGGAGGCGAGCAGCTCCCCCAGCCCCTCTGGCACAAGCGGCTCCAGGTGGAAGAAGACTTTGGTGACCTGCTGGAGCAGTAAGTGTCTGTTGCATGGGGGCCAGATGTGTGAGTAGACCTGTGATGGGGAAGGCAACAGGTGTGGGGGAACAGCTTAGATTTGGTGATCTGAGCATCCTTCCAGCCTGATAGCATCGTGGCAGGCTCTGTCTTGCAGTCCTGCTCCTCCAGCACAGCGATGTTTGCTGCCTCCCCAAAACTGAACTTCTAAAACCAACCAAGCAGGAGCCAGCACATCCCTTGACAGTGAAATCCTGCATGGGCATCTGCTGTCCCAGATAGTTTAGATCAAGTGAGGCTCTCCCTTTGGCCACCAGGTACAAGCACTTCAAGTCCTTGCCAGAGTTGCTGAGCCTGGAGCGCCTGAGCCTGGGAGGGAGCCAGTCCCCGGAGGAGGTGGATGGACTCGTGGCAGGGGAGCGAGGCCTGGGCAAGGTCTCCTGCAGGACACAGTCACCAGAGGAGAGGAGTGACCTCCCGACCTCTCCCAGGTAAGCATTATCAGAGCCCAGCCCCCCGCTTGGGGGAGGCAGTAGGGTCTGAAAAGGGGTTGGAGCATGAAGGAAACGTACTGCAGGCCCAGCCTCTCGGGAGAAATTACTTTTACTGCTTTTTCATTGTAAATGTGTGTTAAAAAGTACTTTACATCACTTCTCTAGTGCTCTTTTTCAAGAGAGAGATAAAATCACTTGGGAGAAGCTCATCAAATTTTATGTCATTGGCATTGATATGGTTCAGAGTGAACAGCCTCCATTGGACACAAGGCTGCATGCGCCTTCTACACTGGGCAGTATCTGAAAGGTTTTCCTCACTGCTGTCAGAGCCTAGGTTAGAGCTGGGGAGCAGCAGCTGCTCAGGGTTTCCCGTGTGCGGGGCTTTGCAGCGTTCTCAGTGCTTGCTCTGTGCCACCGTGCACACAGGAGGGCGAGCGTCCTCACAGGAGCACGTTGTGCTGGCTGCTGCCAGCACGAACCCAGCTCGTGCCTGCAGCACTTGCAGGAACACCCCAGATTAGGCTCCCCAGTTCTCTCAGAATGCAGAAGATGCTGCATTTTGCAGAGCCCAGCAGTAACAGGGAGTGACTGCCTGTCACTCCCAATGAGAGGCAGTCATGAACAGAGCTCTGTACCGGGGGATGCTTTCCGCAGGGCTGTGAGTGCTCAACACTGTTTCGTCTCCTACCCCAGGCAGCCTCCGGAGAGGAGAGCGGGGCGGCTGCCCCCCGCGGAGCCGGCGTGGGAGCAGAGCTGCCTGCCCTGGGCTGGGGAGCCG